ACCTTCTATGATACTGATTACTTAAGTTGGAAATGATACAGTTGTGGTTCTGGTGGGTAAAGCTGACTCAAGAGCTGATCTCCTAAAGACGCCAAAAGCAGGTAAACAGTTTTTGTAGTGGTTTGTGAGACTGTTTCCTGGTTTTTTTTTTGGTTTTGTTTTGTTTTTTTTCCCTTGCAATTCAGTATAAATTGATTGCAAAACAAAGACAAGTTTTGAAATGTACAATATGAAAAGGAAGACACATAAAAAGGCGTTAAATAATAAAAACAATAAAATCCTAAAAATAGCAACATTCTCACAAGGAAAAAATAAATTACAAAATGAGATTTCACACTATATGTACTTATGTAATACGGTATGTACTTATTATAGCTGCATAAATTCGTCGCTCACATCACGAACTAACACAATCAAAGTAGATTGTGTTAGTTCGTGAAATCACAGTAGCGCGTCAAAACGAGCGCGTATTAGTTGTCAAGCAATTTTGTATTCTTTACCACACAAAATGTCCTTAACGACAATAGCGCGTATTTTGACGCGCTTTTTTGATTTCACGAACTAACACAATTGAATTTAATTGTTTTAGTTCGTGATGTGAGCGACGAATTGTACACTATGCGGTTAGATTTAATGCATTCAAACATTTCCTAGTGCCTTGCAGGCTCTTAGGAAATGTTTTCAAGAAATCTAACCTTCGTACAATAATTTTCCGCTTGCGTACTATGCGCAGCTATGCTAATTGCTTATTACCCATAATACAATTATTTTCATAATACAATTCAGGGGGGTCCAGACAGTGCGATCGCATCCCCCTAAATTGTATTAAGAAAATAATTGTATTTTATTGTTGAAATATTATTTTTATAATTAAAAATATAATACCGGTAAGATTTTAAAAGTATGAGATTTCCGGGCACCTTGAGGTCCATACTCTAAAAATGTTCTTACCTCAGCCCCAACCATGCAGCTGAGGTTGTGTGGATTCTCACCCACCCCCTACTGCCAAATCCTGCATCCGCCCCAGCTATCTATAATTTGTGGATGTCATGATTCCCATATTAGAAGCTAACCTAAAGCACATTTGGACAGATTTTCCATGTGCTTTTATTAATGCAGACAAAAAAAAAGAAACAAAAAAAAAAAGTGTTTTGATATGTTGTAGAAGTGATTTTTCTAAGACAGAAAAAAGTTGTTTGAAGAAAAACTGTTCGCATGCCCA